CGACTCTTGTTGTGAGCTGCGCTGCCGACCGAATTTCCGGAGGAAAGGTGATTAGCACTCTCCAACGCAAAGGAACTCGTGGTCTGGAAGCTCGAAAGAGTAGTAGCTGCAGTTGAAGCAGCGGCAGAAAGAGTGACAGAAGTAGTAGAGTGGGTAAGTCAGCATGAATTACTGGTCTGTTCATGCTCCGACGTTTGTTGGGAAGCAGCAGCAGCAGCAGCAGCACCAGCGGCACTATTGGCAGCGGTCGTCATCATCGTTGCTAGTGTTGTTTTCTGGTCACTTGTCACAGCTCCGACAGTGATACTCATCTACATCCAGCATAACAAACCGGCAGCGGTTCGAGAAGCCTCGTCATGCATCCTCCTCAAGGAAGCTTCCTGTGATTTGCTCTTCAGTCCCGATCGCTCGGCATGCATAGGCGAGAGCCTCCCTGTTCTGCTTAGATTTGAAATCACGTGAGCGAACCATTCGAAGAGCCGAAAACCTGCATGCATGCAGTCGCGCTTCTTGAAGCTCTTCCCCAGCATCTGAACCGCGAAAGAGACGTACTTCAGGGCCTCGTACTGGCCTGTCGCTGTAGCTGAGGAGCCACAAGCCGGGCACAAAAAAGCCACGCCCAAAACAAGTATCCAAAGGGTATTGTCTGAGCCCTTGTGCAGCCGGCTCTCATTCTTCGGGTTTCTCGGTTCGACGGAGAAGCTAGTCTTGGTCAGGAGACATTTAACTCATGTAGCTGTAGCCTTTCCTCCTATCATGCAGGGCCTCGACCCATCCGATTCAGATTCTGATCACTTTCGACTTCCTACGGCCAACGCCTCCCAATCCATGTGAGGATCTGTGAGATCGGAGTGCAAGTCACATATGGTACTGGTTAGGCTCTCCTTCTTAATAAGCAGGCCAATGCACTGAATGGAGTACGGGCCCCTTGTCAACATTCATCTCCCCTGGCATCTACTTTGCTCGCAGAAGTCTCGAGACCAAGACCCCAAGACCCAAATCTCTGCAGGCCCTGGCACAGGAGCTGGCGTAAACGTTGGAAAGGGAGACGATGAGATACTTCCAAAGAGGAGCAGCATTCTGCATGGACTCGCCCTGCAGCGACTGTGGGCTGAGGATTTAACGTTAGCATGCAGGCCAGTTTAGGATTTATAAGGATTCTGAGCTTGGGGTTTCCGCTCTTGGGTCTTAAGTGGGTTTCCCTTGTAGCCCATGTTTTCGGCCGGAAGTGCAGTACACAAAGCATATGCAAGGACGGTCAAGGCTGAGGCAAGTTCAGGCCATCTCGGGCTTGGGACTCTTTCTAGGCAAGACAAAAGATGAGCTAATGTAAAGGCAAAAAACTGGCAACAGTCACACGAGTGTTCGGAAGAATGCTCCACATTTTGCAAGACCCTAAGAGTGAAGCATGAAGTTAGAAGTTGGTTCTGGCTGCTTTAAGCGACGAAGACACACACTGTGACCTCCTACCTTTGCACTCAGACCTCCAAACTCTCAGGTCAACGTGATGCCGTTAATAGTAGATTTCCTGTGCCACATTAACACGCAATATAGTGGCCTAAAATAACTACCAATACTATTTTGGGGCTCCTCCTTACAATTATGATACATGCCCCAGAACCCTTTTTTGCAACGATTCGGGTCCCTATATTACTTGTAGAACAGGAACTGTATTGAATGTCATGCCTTGGCGGCCGTCATGCCCACGGCGAAAAGGACAGCGGCCAGTCGATTGCAAAGCACCTTCGGCCGCCAGGCTTCACGGGAGCTTAATAAGTAACCTACACTTTTCAAGTACGGTTGAAGCTACCGTAAAAGCACAAGAATGGGGCCAACGGACCTTTGTTTAAAGCACGTCGCAGAATTTATTACCCGACGCGGTGTGCGGTCACTGAAACCTCGGCAGACTTGCTCCCTCGAGAAGGACGTTATCCCGGGCTGAACTGAACCTAAGGTATGACCGTCAAGCAACTACAATTCCGGGTCTACAAACAAGAAAAGCATGTAGATAGGCAAACATAACATAAATGTAAACATTAACAAATTGGTATGTACATCTACAGTCAGTCAATATCTATATGTATATATATATAATGTATGCATGCATGCATGCATGCATGCATGCATGTATCTATGTATGTACGTATGTAAGAGGGATATGGATGTGTGTGTATGTCTGTAGTATGTATGAGTGTGTCTGGAGATAGATACATAGATAGATAGATAGATAGATAGACAGACAGACATACAGACAGATAGAACGTGGATAGACGGATAGACTTAGATAGATAGATAGATAGATAGATAGGTAGGCAGGTAGGTAGGTAGGTAGGTAGGTAGATAGATCGATAGATGGATAAATAGATCTCAGGCTTAAAGCTTGGAGGGTGCTTTGTCCTGGGGGATTCTTGCAACACAAGTGGTTACATAGGGGGTGTAACAACAAGTAGATCAGCAAGTAAACCTTGAGATTCAGAACTCTTCTTGTGTTGGTTGCGCTCTGCCGGCAAGCCATTCTACGCTGAGGCGTCGGCTAGGAACACGGAGTACTGGAAGAGGTTTCCATCATAGGCCACCGTCATGATACCCTCCTGGCCGAAGACAGGTTTAGGCGGTTTAGGGTTTAGGGGTGCTGGCGCGGGTCTCGTGCGAGACAAAAGACTCCAGTATGACATCGACTTTGACTTTCGTGCTTGACAGTGTCCGGCTAAAGGTACCCTATACCCCTTCTGGTCGGGGGTGGTGCCTTCAGTTATAGGCACTGCCCCACACGCGAAGGGAGTACTGTCTGAGTCTGCGCAGCCAACCGGGGATCAGCTGAGAAGGTTTTTGATTCCCTTAGTCTTGTTGCGTGTGCGTGTGCGTGTTTCGTTCGGCCACCCCGCACTCCAAGCCC